CTCGATCCAATCAGCATTGCCTCACACTTCTTGTGATTACTGATTAGGCCGTTCTGATTCCACCACATTACGATATTTTCAAGATCTTGGTTGACCCGTTGTTCCGCCACGTCAATGTCTTTCGAGCTCGCATGGATTTCTGTATCGTCTGCGTACAACGCCGCCTCACTGTCCTTGCACGCATCAGCGATCCCGTTTATATGGATGTTAAATAGCGTTGGGCCGAGGACGTATCTTGTGCGTCTCAGGGAAACTGCGTCGTCCTTGGACTTGTGATCTTGCGCATTACTTTTGCCATTTGTTCCAAGATTGGTCTGTTGTTTTTTAAATTTCCACTTCTTTGCCAAGGTTTGGTCCCTTAAATTATTAGCCAAAAATTCTGCCAGAGATGTTAACGCACTGGCTAAAGTATTGCGAATGAGCAGTGCACGTCGACACTGCGATCAAAAGTCCTTGCGCAAAGAGGGGTGCCATTGTACGTATGCACGTGAAGGAAAAAACCTTCAGGATAATTTCTGATTGGTTAATCCCAAGTTTGCAGCAGTTGTTCACATGCTTAGCAGCCAAAGTTAACGGTTCCCTTGAACGGTTCCCTTGTTCTGCCAAGGTACTTGGACCTTGTACGTACCTGGTACGGATTAATTGTTATGACGCAGATGCGTTGGCAGACTGAAAACACCCTCGGGCAGATAGAGCCTTCAGAACATATTACTCAATTAACCGCAATTTATAGCTTCGCTTAAAATGATTATATCGCGTACATTGCGTGACAGGCTCGTAACAATAGCAACGACGCCAATGAGTCTTTTAATCACAACAAATATCTGGAACGAAGCTTTTGGGGCTATGTTAAAAATATAATCAATAGAAAAGACGCAGTATTACCATCATTTAACATGACTGATTGCCTTTCTTATTTCTCTAAATCTCTGGCTAAAATTAATCCTAACAAGCTCTTTGTAATTCCCAGCTGGATCCCAAAGTTATCTGATCCTGAAGTTCAATTTAACCTCGACCCCCCGACCTATCAACAAATTACGAATGTTATACGCAAAATGAAATCGTCTGGTTCTCCTTGCCCTCTTGACCAACTTTCTATAATAAGTTTCAAGCATTGTCCTTATCTGAGAACTTACCTTACTGAGCTAATTCACGATATTTGGCTATCTGGAACTGTCCCAACTGAGTGGAAAAGAGCATGTACCATACTAATCCACAAGAAAGGCAACAATAATGACCCTTCAAATTTCCGCCCCATAACACTCGAATCCATACCTTTAAAAGTATTTACATCTTGTCTTCGAAACGCAGTATACTCCTTCCTCGCATCTAATATCTTCGTCGAACACAACATACAAAAAGGCTTCACCCCTAACCTATCTGGCACTCTAGAACATACTGCACAAATGGCTGACATTATTAATAAAGCTCGGATCAGACAACGCTCTGTTGTCATCACCCTACTTGATCTCACCCAACCTCATCCAATCCGTACTTGACTACCACCATATCCCTGATCATTTTGTTATAAAAAGTTTATATACTGATTTCCAAACCTCGATAATTACCTCTGAATTCCGCACTCCTTTTATGACAGTTGGCCGTGGCGTATTGCAAGGAGATTGCCTCAGTCCTCTTCTTTTTAACATGTGGTTCAATACATTCGTTCAGCATATCAAAGCTGAAAATACCGTCAATTTGGGTTTTCCTTCAAATTACTAAATCCCATCCACTGCTTCCAGTTTGCTGATGACGCGGCTGTAATTACTGGCCAACAATCCGAAAACCAACATCTATTAAATCGATTTTCTATCTGGTGCCAATGGTCCGATATGATTATCCGAGTTGACAAATGCAAGACCTTTGGCATTAAAAAAGCCATCACAAAATCAGTTCAGTACTTGCCAAAACTCCTCATCGGCAATCAACTAATACCAAAAATCCCTATTGGAGAATCATTTCAATATTTAGGACGTTGCTTTGATTTCCACATGTCGAATGATAATCACAAAACTGAACTAACCACCCTACTTAATGAACTAATGACTGATATTGACTCAAAGCCACTACACCCCAAAAATAAACTGCTCCTCTACAGTCGCTACGTCTTGTCCAAGTTAGCCTGGCACTTCACCGTCGCAACACTTTCTAAAACATGGGTTACTGAAAATATCGACTCTATTGCCAACAAATATATCCGCAGATGGCTTGATGTACCAATATCAGGAACACTAAGTACTGTCTTTCTAACAAATAACAAATTTGGCCTGAGTATTTATCCTCCATCTGTAAAATTTATCCAGTGTCAAACAATCCTTCGAAAATCTTCTCCTAATGAATCAACTAACGACCTGTGGAAAGCAACCAGTAACCATACTAATATCCAATATGACGCTTATAACTCTACTAAGGAAGTTCTCAAAGATTTTCGTTCTGGCACGAAAACAAACTCCTGAACCAATTAACCAGTCAAGGATCCTTTTTCTGCGGCGTCACGAAGTTCGCTTTACCCCAGCTTAACAAGGTGTGGTCCATCGCCCAATCAAAGCTCCCGAAAAACATTTACAACTTTACCATTCGTTACATTAACAACTCTCTTCCGACGCGCAAAAACCTAAACAGATGGGCAATAGCTTCAAATGCAGACTGTTCTTTTTGTCTTAGCCCTGAAACATTACTACACATAGTAGCTGGATGTCAGTTTTATCTCGACCGATTTACGTGGAGACACAATTCAGTCCTGAACTTTCTTGCTAATACTTTACAAACTGTTGACGGTTCTACTCTCTACGCTGATCTACATGGATTCAAAAGCCCTTCAATACTTACTGGTGATACGTATCGCCCAGATTTGTTATTATCGTGCTCAAATGGTTCCTTATATGTGGTCGAACTCACCACTGGTTATGAGACAAACCTCAAGAACAACGTAAAACGGAAGAAGGATAAATATAGAGAATTATTGAGACAGCTAGGTAAAAATTTTAACCAAGTTAAATTTATAAATCTCTCCATCAGCTCTTTAGGTATTTTTGCAGAAGAATGTTCTACATTTTTAGACATGTTAGAAAGTATTGGTCTTGACAAAAACCACCAAATGTACTGCGTTAAGAAAATGATGACTATTGCTATTAGAACTACATATTACATTTTTTGCTGCCGAAATAAGGAATGGGAAAATCCGGATTTACTAACAATTTGACTTATCTGATTGTATATATATATATTGCATGCACTTTGTTCTGTTATTTTAGATTAGTATTGTGTGATTCAAATAGCCAACCGTAAGTTACCTTTATGAGAGAGATTTACGATTGTATATGTATGTAAAGAAAAACATTTAATAAAGTTTCCATTATTATTATTATTATGTTAAATAATATGTTCGCAAATGGCTTGAGGTACCTATTTCTGGAACGCTGAGTAACATCTACTTAACCAGCAACAAATTTGGTCTTAACATCATCCCCCCATCAACTAAGTTTTTACAATGCCAGGTAACAATTCGGAATGCTTTAAAATCACCTCCTAATGAATCAATAATCCACCTCTGGAAGTCAACAACTAATCATACTAATATTCAATACGACCAATACAGTTCGACGAAGGAAGTGATTAAGTCATTTCGTGATGATCAAATAGATAAATTAACAAACCAACTAGCATACCAAGGCTCATTCTATACCAGTGTATCAAGATTTTCTCTAACCCAAGTAAATACGATCTGGCCAGCCTGTCAGTCCAAATTGCTTAAAAACATTTTCAACTTTACCATTCGCTATATAAACAATTCGCTGCCAACCCGTAGGAACCTTCAAAGATGGGGGCTATCCTCGTCTTCTGAATGCTCGTTCTGCATTAATCCTGAATCTCTATTGCATGTCGTCGCTGGTTGCAGTTCTACCTCGATCGATTTACTTGGAGACATGACTCATTCTAAATTTCATTGCTAATATAACCTTCCATCAGAACATATCCGGACCATTTGTCGGCTGATTTGTCGTCATTCTCTAATCCTTCTACAATCACTGGTGATGATTATCGGCCTGATTTACTAATTTTGACAAAAGACAATTGTCTGTATATTCTGGAATTAACCGTTGGATATGAGACTAACCTCCGAAATAATGTTAGCAGGAAATACTCCAAGTATAAAGATATGATTATGGAACAAAAGAAAAATTATCATGCGGTAAACTTCTTCAACCTTTCGATTAGTGCACTTGGTGTGTTTGACAAGGAATCTTCTGGTTTTATAGACATGTTAGAACATTTTAATTTAGATAAAGCTCATGTAAGATACGTTATTAAAAAGATTATTAATATTGCAATAAGGTCAACCTACTACATTTTTTGTTGTCGAAATAAGAACTGGGTGAATCCGGACTTGATGAAACTTTAAAATTTTTATTGTATAAGTATGTATATAGAGTAATAGAGTAAAGTTAATCGTGCGTTATAAAATCATTTAATAGTAATATATCAAGTTGCCAATTGTAAATTACCTTATATAGTGAGATTTGCAGTTGTAAGTTTAGAAAATTAAATAAAGTTTCCATTATTATTATTATTATTATTACTTCGGCTAAAATATCAATTTGTGTCACACAACACAACACTTTTCTTATTATTTTAGGGTCTGTATATGCGGTATTAATAGTAGTAGAATAATTTAACACTAACCTGGTGTTGCCCTTTCCAGACGTTATTTCCTTTCCAGACGCAATTTCCCACAAGAGTTTTATAAGTTTTGTTTTACCTGGTTTTTTGCCTTGAATCAGAAGTGTTCCTGTAGATTTGTAAAAGGTTATGAAGACAGTTTGGGAGGTAAGCTTCTCAGTATTTTCGTCTGGAGACGACCAGTTACCGTGCAATGAAAGCCTTTTTCGGACGAATTCTTTTAACTGGTCAATATCGCCGTTCCATTTTAATTTTTTGTTTAAGTGAGACAGGTTATTGTCTGTTGCCATGTCGAGCTTTTTCACTCAAGACGATCTTTTCACTCTTGTTTCTCGACAGGAATTTTTTCCACTTTCTATAAGGAAAACATAGCTCTAGTGAACTTTTCATGTTATTTGAAATGAAATTAGATTTGAAAGCACAATAAAAATGGATTTACCAAAGTTGACGAAAGGTAATCTTTATTGGTATTTTTTGAAGATTCTGCAACAAATTGATGTAGACGGTATCAACTGTATGTCTGTATTTTGTGTTTGCGACAACACCTTAATTTGTCGTAATATGTATTCTGTTCAAAACGTCTCGTGATTTAAACGGCAGTCTCTCAACGTCCTTATAAGGGGATAATTAATTTGGTTTCACAGTACCATTTGACCACCATGCTGTGACAATCTGAGACATTTGCATCTCTTTAGAATTCTAGGTATCGGTTTGATAGTTCCGAGTATTGACTTGGGCTTTGTGTCATATCGAAAGAACAGTTCGAATAAGAGAGATTTTTAAAGATTTTAGCGTAACTATATATTTCTCATGGTCAAGCAAAGTTAAATTTCATTGAAATATTACAACTTCTATTGTACTGTTATATACGTTGACCTCTCAACTTTGTACATTTGAAAATTTGCATTTAATTAAGTTCTTTGTATGGTTCCATGGCTATAATATAAAATCTGTTTTGGCTCTTGGAACGTACCAAGTATATTTATTATTGGAAAGATTTCAATCCTAAGTCCAGATCTTCATCAGTGCTAATATTATATTGTTATAGCGTTGATGAAATTGTGATCAAAAGCTTTGCAATAATAAATACACCGTTCCGGTGTTTCCCTGAAAAATTGTTCCAGTGTTACACTATCAGTATACAAAACTTTCAAACAAACATATATACCTTTTATCAAGCCTATGCAGAGCTTGATGGTGAGCTCTTAATTATTAAATTCATCAGATTTTAACTCACAGCATTCA